GCTTTGGGTAGTATTGACTTTTTAACAATATTTATTCTTCCAATCCATGAGCATGGAATTTTTTCCATTTCTTTGTGTCTTCTTCAATTCCCTTCATAAGCTTTCTAGAGTTTTCAGCATACAGATCTTTTACATCTTTGGTTAGGTTTATTCCTAGGTATTTTATGGTTCTTGGTGCAGTTGTAAATGGGATCAATTTCTTGATTTCTCTGTTGCTTCATTATTGGTGTATACAAATGCAACTGATTTCTGTACACTGATTTTGTACCCAGCGACTTTGCTGAATTCATGTATCAATTCTAGCAGCCTTTTGGTGGAGTCTTTCGGGTTTTCCATGTAGAGTATCATGTTGTCTGCGAAAAGTGAAAGTTTGACTTCTTCTTTGCCAATTTTGATGCCTTTTATTTCATTTTGTTGTCTGACTGCTGATGCTAGGACTTCCAACACTATATTAAACAACAATGGTGAGAGTGGACATCCCTGTTGTGTTGCTGATTTCAGGGGGAAAGCTCTCAGTTTTTCCCCATTGAGGATGATATTAGCTGTGGGCTTTTATGATGTTTAGGTATGTTCCTTCTATCCTGACTTTCTTGAGGGTTTTTACTAAGAAAGGATGCTGTATTTGTCAAAATGTTTTTTCTGCATCTATTGACACAATCATATGGTTCTTATCCTTTCTTTTATTAATGTGATGTATCACACTGACTGATTTGCAAATATTGAACCAGCCCTGCAGTCCAGGAATGAATCCCACTTGATCATAGTAATTCTTTTCATATGCTATTGAATTCGATCTGCTAGTATCTTGTTGAGAATTTTTGCATCCATGTTCATCAGGGATATTGGCCTATAATTCTCCTTTTTTTTGTGGGGTCTCTGGTTAGGGAATCAAAGTAATGCTAGCTTCATAGAATGAGTCTGGAAGTTTTCCTTCCATTTCTATTTTTTGGAACAGCCTGAGAAGGACAGGTATCAACTCTGCTTTAAATGTCTGGTAGAATTCCTAGGGAAGCCATCTGGTCCAGGACTCTTATTTGTTGGCAGATTTTTGATAGCTGATTCAATTTCTTCACTGCTTATGGGTCTGTTCAAACTTTCTATTTCTTCCCATTTGAGTTTTGGTACAGTGTGAGTGTCTAGGAATTTGTCCACTTCTTCCAGGTTGTCCAGTTTGTTGGCATATAATTTTTCATATAATTCTCCAATAATTGCTTGTATTTCTGAGGGACTGTGATAAATCCATTTTCATTCGTGATTTTATCTATTGGGGTCCTCTCTCTTTTCTTTTTGAGAAGTCTGGCTAGGGGTTTATTAATTTTGTTTATTTTTTCAAAACAACAGCTCTTAGTTTCATTGATCTGTTCTACTGGGGTTTTTTTGTTTTTCTGTTTTTGGATTCTATATTGTTTATTTCTGCTCTGATCATTATTATTTCTCTCCTTCTGCTGGCCTTGGGGTTTCTTTGTTGTTCTGCTTCTTTCAGTGTGCTGTTAGATTTTGTATTTGGGATTTTTCTTGTTTCTTGAAACAGGCCTGGATTGCAATGTATTTTCCTCTCAGGACTGCCTTTGCTGCATCCCAAAGGGTATGGATTGTTGTGTTTTCACTTTCATTTGTTTCCATATATTT